TCAAGCAGAGTTTACTCCTAGTTCTTGAAGGTTTAGGAAGCAGAATTCAGAATCTATTTTCAAACGGGGTGCTCTCTGTTTTAGAAAGTTAACTTGGATTTACCCAGGAGAATTTGAAAGCAATGACCATTTATCACTTGGGTAGAGCTTTTAATGTGTCAAGTGTTTTATTGCCTTATGAAGTGGGTTATGTTGTCAAGTTCACAGAACTCGAAACTGTGCAGCTCCCCATAGGCCATGCAGTCATCCCACAGCAAAACGAAACCCGAGCTTGGGTTTCTATGGCTCTATTTTTTCTATGTGCCTTAGAGCTGAGAAGCCATTAAAGATGACAAAAGTGGAGAATTTCTCCTCTGCCAGCCTCCGTGGAGAATAAACTGGAAAACTTTCTCGAAGGCTGTCCCCTCATATTAACTACAAGGAGAATTAGGGTACAGTAGGGTTTTTTTTATCTCTCCCCCCCCCCCGTTACTCCTTTCTAAATGCTAGAAGCCTCCAGAATTAAAATAATAGCAGGACTAGCTGTCATAATTCATTATTATCATTTGGGGTCAGCGGTAATAATGGTACTGAATGGACAGTAGCTAGATCTAATAATATTTTTGCTCTCAGTATAAACGGTCCATCAAGAAATCTGTTTTTTTCCCGGGGACTTCCTGGGAGGAGCCTACTGGTGAAGGCAGCAAAAANGGCTATGCACAGTATATATGTGAGTGTATGAAAATGAAAAAATGGAAAATAAAAACCTTTAAACATTAGAAAAGAAAAAAAAAAGAAAGAAAAACAAGAAAAAAAAGATTGCAAAATTGGGCACAGTTACATGATTTGCTTAACGACCAGTATGATTTACAACTATAATTTTTGGGCTCAGTTATAGTCATAAGTTTGGATCTGTACGTGCATATAACTTGATAGTGTCTCATCTAGTAGCAGCTGGTTAGGAAAGGGATTTGGGGGAAGTCATTAATTTTTTTTTAATGACCCATCGTTATAATAATCTATAGATCAAACTCTTGTGAAAAATACGAATTTCAGAATACAGGGCATTTATACAAGTGGCCAAGCTAAAATGCCAATATGGATCATTCTCAACTTAGGACCACAATTGAGCCCAGCATTTTTGTAGTTAAGTTGTTAATTGAGTTTTGCCTCATTTTGTCACAGTTGTTCAGCAAACCACTGCAGTTGTTAAGTGAATCATATGGTTGTTAAGCGAATCTGGCTTCTCCCATTGATTTGGCTTGTCGGAATCTGGCTGGGAAAGTTAGAAATGGTGATCCCTGGGACAGTGCATCTGTCATAAGTACATGCCAGTTGCCAAGCACTCGAATTTTGATCACATGACCATGGGTGCCGAAATGGTAACGTGAAAAATGGTCGTAAAGCCACTTCTTTTCAGTGCAGTTGCAACTTGCAACGGTCACTAAACAGATGGTTGCAAATCAAGGACTACTTGTATTGTCTTTGTAAGCAAATTATGAGAGTATGCTTGGAACTCAGTGCATGAATCTGGTTATCGTATCATTAAAAAGATGTTGTTGAGTTTTAAAAAGTGACAACGGCTAGCATTTTCTGGTTTTAAAAAAAGTAAACAAAGGGAATGTAATGGAGCTCTGGAAAATAATTCCTTGTAGAAATGGGTACAGAAAAGTTATTTCCACCTTTGATGGACAGTGAAACATTCAGAAGAAATGATAACGAGACCTTCATTCAGAACTTAATTATTACCTAAAATTTCTTACGGCAAGAAAGCCACCAGCCCTACTACTTTGAAAGGCAATTGAAGAATAGACTAGAATATTAGAATAAAGAATATTATAATAGACATTAGCTCCATCAGGGGCTACTAATCCTAATGGCTACGTATCACTTCCAGCAATATAAAAGGCTACGGCAAAGGTTTCCCTCGCACATATGAGTTAGTTGTTCCCAACTCTAGGGGGCGGTGCTCATCTCCGTTTCAAAGCCAAGGAGCCAGCACTGTCCGAAGACGTCTCTGTGGTCATGTGGCCGGCATGACTAAATGCTGAAGGCGCACGGAACGCTGTTACCTTCCCACCAAAGGTGGCTCCTATTTTTCTACTTGCACCTTTACATGCTTTCGAACTGCTGGGTTGGCAGAAGCTGGGACAAGTAACGGGAGCTCACTCCGTTACGCGGCACTAGGGATTCGAACCGCCGAACCGCCGACCTTTCTGATCGACAAGCTCAGCGTCTTAGCCACTGAGCCACCGTGTCCCAGCAACATACCTGTGCATAAATGTGAGAATGACACCGTGCTCTTGATCTTAGTCATGAATTCCCAGATGTTACTGGCTGGTCACCATGACATGGGATGCTAAATAGATGGTTCTAACTGTGCCAAAAAAGGGAGATGTAATTCAAGTCAGCAAAGGTGGGCATGTTTCTAGTCCCTTCCGCTAAATATTGCCATCTGATGGGAGTTAGGAAGTGGGCCATTTTGTGGCCACCTTTGCCCTATCGAATAATTGGTCCCCTGAAGTTTGATAAGCTTCTGCCCACATATTTATTTTATTTATTTGCAAAATGTATTCGTTGCTGACCTTGGTAAACATGGTAAAACTTGGAAGACCAGGTTTTACCTCCAGATGCTGGGGAAAAAATGAAGTGAGTACACATCAGAAGTCTCACTCGGTGCCAGGTTTTTGTTGGTTTTAATGCATTTAAGTTTTATAATATGGTTTTTGTGCTCTTAACTTTTTCTAAGGAAAATTTTGAAAAATTTTTTTTTTTACAAATATTTACTTCCCTC